GGGGGGGGGGGGGGGGTGGTACCGAAGAGAAATGTTTTTCTTGGTAATAATTTTGCTGATCTAACCATTAAAAAGTCAAAAAATATTTTTACCCAACCTCAAATATCAATTAAAAATTAGTACCCACCCCTGGCCAAAAACTTTACAAAAGGATACCATTCAGTTGTCACACATGTCCTTTACCACTTCTGTGACATGAGTTTGATAACTGCTGGTACAATTTTCTGCAGTCTAAAGTTTCATGTTGTCTGCACATGTACTTTCTTTGGAGACACCATTTGCCTCATGACAAATCGCAAAATGATCAAGATAGTGACTCTGATTGATTGATTTACATATTGTATTGACATATGACTGTTGACATTTAACAAATATAAAACATTTTCCGTGTTGATATACAGTTATATCAACACGAGTGGAATTGGGAAAACGATTTTTGAAAGTTTTCCCAACTTGGTGTTGATATAACTATATATCAATACGGAAAAAATGTTTTATATTTTTTTTATAATATAGCCCGAAGGATGAGAAAAATTTTCGTGTTTACAAGCGGCGGAAAATTTCCCGTCTTGACATTGAGTTATATCAACACGGCTCTTAGCCAATCAGCGTTCAGAATTTACAAATGCTATATTATAATGCTTTTTAGTCTTCGGTGAACAAATATTTAAAAGCATTAATTGTATGCCCATAACAGTACTAATTACATCAAAGTACGCGTAATTTGCATGTATATAGCAAAATATTTAAGCAAACGCTGCCAATATAAAACGTCTCCGCTTCGAGAACAATTGAATTGATTATCCATCTACTCAAAGAAAAAATCTTAGATCCCGTCTAAATGCTTCGACGTTCGTTAATTGAATTATCAACCAAAGTCTGTTCTTAAAGGGATACAGCAATATATTTTTTTTATTTCATTTGAAAGAACTTTTAAAATTACATGCAAATCTCCTTTACCGTTTATTCGCATCTTGCTTAGTTCTTGAAATATTTTCACTTAAAGTAATTAACTGTTCGCCATCTTGGATAAATTTTTTATCTCATTATCGGTGATTTTAGTGACGTCATAAGCAGGGTTAGCCATATAAAACTACATCTAAATGACCAAATAACAGGAAGTCTTGTTCGAAAAGTTATCAATCACTTTCTTATTTGAAATAGTTACCGAAGAATGATTTTGAGCTCATAATAACCAATGGAAGCTGGTCAACTCGGCCCACTGACCAACTCGGCCCATGCCATCTTGGCCCAATTGTTAACTACTGTTTGACATATTAGGAAAGCTAATATTTTACAAAAGATAGCACCAAACTAATACAGTCATTTGCAGTTGCATTGGGCGTACAGATGAGTAAAGTTTGAGAACATCCAGTTTGACTTAATTTAATTAAAGAATCTATCGAAGTTTTAAATTCTCAATCTGTCTGTTTTCATACTAAATTACTGATCATTCAAATCAAATCTCTCTCAAAATTTGCAAAGATAGAATGCAGTCATGGCTCCTAGCTTGTTTAGTGGTTAGATTAGTCAGTTTACGAGCGAGTGGAGTTGTGTTCCTTGAACGGTGGGCCGAGTTGGTTAGTGGGCCGAGTTGACTGTAAAGCCTAACCAATTGCTCTCTGGATAAAATACTTGCTTATAACGTAACATGCCAAAATCATCGCGGAATGCTCGCTGATTTGTAATTTTTTCTGTCAAAACATCTCAAGCAGGCTTTTAGCCAGAAGGGCGTCCTGGGACGCCCCTTCAGGACGCCCCTAGAACAAAAAGTGGACGCCTTTGGACGCCCAAATTCTGGGGAAAAGGGAAATTATTTTCAATGATTTCCCTAAGTATATTAGTATATCCGAAACGAAATAGCTTCAATTCTCATTATTATTATACATTTGACATTTTGATCAATTTGATGGTGTACCTGGCCGAATGAAAATGTCATATAGTTAAGTAAAGAGGCAATAGTGGCACAAACTCACAAAGCCAAGTGTGTTTGAAAAATTTTAAACGAGGTTGGAACAGATACTAACAAGAAGTAACATAAACTTCAAAAGTTTTCCAGAGGAACGCTTTCTCGAACCCCCATACCCCTCTTTACTGTAGATGTATCGTTTATGTCAAAATTGGACGCCCTCTTTAAGGACCCTGGCTAAAAGCCTGATCTCAAGAAATAATAAAGTTACGCAAAATGGGTAAAGGAGATTTACATATAATGTTCAAAGTTCTTCCAAATGAAATAATAAAACAATATGTTGCCATATCCGGCCTTTAAAGACCATGTAAAGTCCGTTCTGAATCTCTAGTCTGTATTCATTTACAAGCATAGCGAACCAGAAGGGTGTTAAAAATTCAGTATATTATATACAGCTAATTCAAGAAAGGTTGTCCTTTGCAAACCTTAAACTCTAAACCTTAAACCTTGAACTCTCAGCGTCCAAAGCAGGGCTTGAAATAGCGGGCTGCCAATGGCCAAAAGCAGGCCATATTTTAGAAATGGCAGGCAAAACAAATTTGAACTGCCAAGTCAAAAAAAAAATGGCAGGTGAAATTCTATAGATATATTTCATTCATTTGCTTACCACAACTCATATATAAGTAGATCATTTAGTTGACTAAATACGTTTATATTTGAAGTGTAAATCCAAGTTTTCTGAGGTAAAACCATATAGATATATGAGATATATATGGGTAAAATAGACAAGTTTAAAAACACTAAAAATGCACATCATGAAAACATTGATTTTTTGGCAGTTCAATGAATAAAAATGGCAGGCTAATTTATTTCACCTGCCAAAACATTTTAAGACTGGCAGTCCATATTTTTTCTCTAATTCGAGCCCTGGTCCAAAGCATAATGAGGCAACATTTAATCAGTTTAGAAATCATATATGGGGCCCATTTCTTAGAGACATGGTAAATATCTCCTTACGAGAACAATTCATTCACAAATAGCTGCAATATTCAACTACTAAGCTTGAAACTTGTGCTCTCATTATGCTTTGCGCGCTTAGAGTTTAAGGTTTTAGGTTTAGAATTTAAAGTTTACAAAGGACAAACTTTTTTGAATTAGCTGTATCTAATTATATTGTGACGAAACGTTACTCAATAAATATTTTTTACATTCCAAATGTTTTTTTGAATATGCCTCTTTTACGAGGTATTTGCTGGGCAATAATATTTTTAACTAGAATTCGATTTCCGCCTGGTGTTTCTATTGCCTTTAAGTAATATTTTTTATTCTAGGTTTGTCACAAACTCAACAGCAATGCCCAGCACCCTGTCCACAGGCGTGTGCCCCATCCTGTGGTCAACAATGTTGCAACCCCACCCCACCACCCATGCAGACGTGCGGTAGGGGGTGTTCAGGTGGCTGTGCTCCGGCGTGCACCCCCAAGTGTTGCTGGGATAGGAAGCGAAACAGGATCCCGAAGAAATTATAGGAATCATAATATTTGATATTTGAATGAAAAACATCACATACTGTAGATGTGTACATTGAAGACGAATTTCTGTGCCAATGTGTAGGTACAGCGATGAAAACAAGACAATTGTGGATTAAGAAAGATACAAAGACATTAACAGGGCCTTTTTAACCATGTAGAGCATATAAAGAAAAGGTTATGCCACTTTTGCCATGTTATTGTGCATTATATTATACAAATACTGTAATGAATGTTTATGAGTGCAATGGTAAGAATATTTTCATGAGGTGAAAGATGGAATGTTCCATTCAACAAGGCGACAGCCGAGTTGGAACGTTCCATCTTTCACCAAATGCGATGACCATGTGAGTACTTATATAACTGACGATTTAGTCTATCTACAGTATAATGCAACGCTGTGTATAAAAAAATCTGTTTACAAAAATGCACAAAATGCTGTCCTAGGGGTAAAAAAACAACCATCTGTCATCTCTCCATACTCAGTCCAGTATGGTCCCATTATATAGTAGATTCCCCCCACTGACAAATTCTTTAAAAAGGCCCTGAAAATTAATGTTTTTGAAGATGCGAAATAATACTATCCCCATTTGTATAAGCCATCAATGGATAAGGCAATTAATAATTACCATTTAATGGTTCTCCTTTTTTAAACCATCAATGGCTTTCATTGATGTTCACATCATGGTGATTATAGTTTTTTCCGTCGATGATAAGAATGCATTTTGAAAAGAATTTAATAGATCATACTTGGATTCGTAAATAGGACATATTATCAATATACCATTATAGAAATTACTTTTTCCATAGATGGTTTTTTTGGGGGGTTTCCTGTGGTACAGCTAGCTAAAAATATAAGCAGAAATTTCTACAAAATTCTTAAACTTTTAAAATATAATTCTCTCTCGATCTCCAGTGTACTCGATACATAATGTTTATACATATTGTATAATATATGCTCGATTTGATAAATTGGACATTTGCTTTGTAAATAATTATATATATTAATACATAACAATGTAGTCTGGTCTTAATAATTTTGTCAAGTCCTGGGACTTCTTCAACATGTAAATTTCATGACCTGCTGTTTAAAGTGCATACGACATGATATTTCTTATTTTCTTAAATGAAAGAACTCTTTAATTAATTAAGCTGTAGTGTAACTTATTTTTCAGTTTCTTGTTTTTATTGTTTGTTCCCCGAGATATTTCAATTTGTTTGATATGTAAATGAGTATATGAATATGATTTTTTTCTGTGTCAACTGGTGTATGTACTCAGGTGAATATGATGTTTGTGATGTTACTCTGAGTGTATGTCCACACCGGGCAAG